AGGAATGGACTAATATGAGTTTACTCATCGGGAAAAGCGTGTCGATACAAATCCAAACTCTTTGGTCTTTTGTTAACTTTAGAAATAAAAATCTAATCGACATGCAATGTTCATTTCATTGTCAATTTGATTCCCAAGAGACGTCATATGGAACTTTCGTTTAATGTGAATTATTACTTTGTTTTAGACCTAAGTATCAATTTTTAAGTGTAATTTTTATTTTTAAAGTCAATTTGCATCTAAAATTAAAGATAAAATCACTGAAGTTAAAAAGATTCCATGTAAAGTGACAACTGATTTCAATTTAGTTTAATGCGGCGATTTATTTTGTTTTTTCGCCAATTTCAAAAACTCCTCGCAACTTCAAACACTTGTATTTCTGTCAATATCGCGCGGAAAATTAAATGTTATATATTACAAACTAAGTTAATCATTTGTGAATACATTGGTTTTTATTTTAGTGAAATAACTTTATATAGGTTTTACGTAACATGAAATCAAAGAGGGTATAGTTTTTTGGGACACACGGTATCAAATATTGGCATGTATCAGGGGAAATTGGATTTTGTTCCAGTTAGCGGAGATTTCGAGTTAACAGAGATTGCTTTAGTGGAGTTCTAGTACACATTAAAGAAAAGTTTAAGTATAATTCCATTCTTTGGCGTATTTCTGACAAATATTCTTTATTTAATGCTTTTTAAAATGTCGTGTTCGACAAGCACTTTTCGTCAAGTAAAATATAGATTTCTATTGAAGCACACATGTGTTGTTCTGAAGTAATAAATTCTTTTCCCGATTAAACATATAAGAAAAATTTAAATACGTTTCTTTCTATCTACTCCGCTTTCTTAACGTATAGCAGTATTGCCCTTCACGATGAATGACACGGGAAGTGAAAACAATTTCTGCCTCTGATAAAATGATGACAGCTTCAGTTGAATATTTCCGACATCCTGTGAGGGAAGGTGCATGTGGGAAAACAAATCTGGAGAGATGTTTCAATCCTCTAGAGGCCAGTAGATGGAGCTCGTGAATTCAGGAAATTTGGAGCCTGGGGTATAATAGTATAGCTGCCACAAAATAATGAAAACAGCGCACAGTCAAGCATTTTAATTGCGTGGGGTCCATACAGGCCCACTTAGATTAGAACCGATAGAGTTGCTATCTAATACTTTACCTCACTATGAAAACCTGCTTCTAATAACGCTATAGTGACATATGCCGTTATCGTAAGTTCACTGTTCAATCCTCCCTGGAAATAGTAAATGTGATGAAGTTTAACATAAATATCTCAAATATATAAGAATAAACAAATTTAAAAAAATAAAATTTGAAATTTGTATAAAAAACAATTCCAACATTTAAGGCGGTTTTTCACTAGGCGAAATGTTTCGATCGAACCGAAATTTTTATTTTGAAATTTCTTATTTACTCCATCTGAGTGCTTGTTTTCGATTCGGTCGAACCGAAATTTCGATCAAACCAAAATTTTAATTGCTCAAATTCAAAAGATTTCTGTTTAGTTCCATCTTGCTTTTAAGACAAAAGCAAATTTTGATTTGGTCGAAAAGTTTCGCCTGGTGGAAAACCGCCTTTAAGATTAGTGACGGAACCAAACGAATAGCAGAAAAATGAAAAAAAAAAGAAAAACTTGCTGAAAAAGTAAGGGGGTAAAACACCAACATCTACTGCAATATAGTTTATTTGTTCTTGACAAATAATCAGGAAAACACAAAACCCAATGATGGTATACGTCTGTTTCTAATTTCTTTTTTATATTGTACTAGAAATACATGCATGCAACAACCCATCGCCTGTATTCTCTAAACATTGTTCCAACATGAAGTATTCGTGATTACGCCAACATTTAACGCAGGTTTCTATTGCACGTCATGTTTGTCATGGCAAAACACGACAATTTTTCAAAAAATTTTTTTACAAACGTCAAACCCGCTAAAAGTAGATCAAATCATGGAGGACGTACATGCAGAAATCTCAATTCAGGTTAGTTTCGCGTAAGGAAATATTTTAAGTCCGTCATGTTCTTAGCAAGTGCCCTAAAGAGAGGCAGTCACCCCCTGAAAATATATTAAAAATTTAATATTCCAGGAGGGTGAATTCTTCTCTTAAGGCCACTTGATAAGAACATGGCCGCCAGCTATTTCGGTAAAAAGCGCCTTACGGTTTTGTGTATGGAAGTTACACTTCTGTATGTCTTTATTCTGTGATGAAATTGAACAGTTTTAATTAATTAATAATATATATTTATATAATTATGGTAATTATAATATATTATATATATATATATATATATATATATATATATATATATATATATATATATATATATATATATATATATATATATATATATATATATATATATATATATATATTATATGGTCATGTGGTACGTATAGACATAATTTTGACAACTGGAATGGGCTATTCCATTTAATATCCGTACCCCCCCCCCCTGTCGAGGATCCCTGGAATTCTTCAGGGGTAAAGGGTTTTGAGCTTGGAATTCTTCAGGGGTAAAGTGTTTTGAGCTTGGAATTCTTCAGGGGTAAAGTGTTTTGAGTTTGGAATTCTTCAGGGGTAAATGGTTTTGAGCTTGGAATTCTTCAGGGGTAAAGGGTTTTTAGCTTGGAATTCTTCAGGGGTGAAGAGGTTTGAGATTGAAATTTTTCAGAGCTTGGAATTCTTCAGGGGTGAAGGGTTTTGAGCTTGGAATTCTTCAGGGGTAAAAGGTTTTGAGCTTGAAATTTTTCAGGGGTAAAGGGTTTTGAGTTTGGAATTCTTTAGGGGTGATGGGTTTTGAGTTTGGAATTCTTCAGGGGTAAAAGGTTTTGAGCTTGGAATTCTTCAGGGGTAAAGGGTTTTGAGCTTGGAATTCTTCAGGGGTAAAGAGGTTTGAGATTGAAATTTTTCAGAGCTTGGAATTCTTCAGGGGTGAAGGGTTTTGAGCTTGGAATTCTTCTGGGGTAAAAGGTTTTGAGCTTGAAATTCTTCAGGGGTAAAGGGTTTTGAGCTTGGAATTCTTTAGGGGTGAAGGGTTTTGAGCTTGGAATTCTTCAGGGGTAAAAGGTTTTGAGCTTGGAATTCTTCAGGGATAAAGGGTTTTGAGCTTGGAATTTTGGAATTCTTCAGGGGTAAAAGGTTTTGAGCTTGGAATTCTTCAGGGGTAAAGGGTTTTGAGCTTGGAATTTTGGAATTCTTCAGGGGTAAACAGTTTTGAGCTTGGAATTCTTCAGGGGTATGACAATGAAAAACATGTATCCTCGACAGGGGGGGGTACGGGTATTAAATGGAATAGCCCATTTTGAACATACTATAGATGACTTTCTTTATTTATAGTATATATATATATATATATATATATATATATATATATATATATATATATATATATATATATATATATATATATATATATATATATATATATACTTATTCACATAACCGCTGCGGTTTTGATACATTATTCATCGCGTCTTTCCGAAGGCATTGTACCATAAATAAAATGTAATTGAAAGGGAACACATTACAATTTTTTTATAAAATAGATCAAAATATACCATAAATATCGAGATATTGAATTTTGTTTTGAATATATGCTAGCATAAAGGTCATAAGTTCGTGCGTA